ATTTTACAAGGCTTAACATCACTAAAGTATTTTTAAAAGCCACACAACTGTGTTTGTCTGGTTTCTCTGTCATTCGTGTACCAGAGCTCTAAGAGTCGTTCTCAGTCTTCTGACACTAGCCCAAATTACTCATTACTTTGGTAATTATCCATTGGTACTTTATGTAACTCCACGTAAGTGCTACAAATACATTTGCATAATGACTGAAACCAGATGAACAGAATCAACTTTTGGAGAAGAGTCAGGAGAGGCACACCAGACAAGTGCAGGAACAGGTAAACTGATGACTCACCCGGCCGTGCAGCCAGTCCTCACACACCACACACTGAATCATCTCATCCTCCACCTGCAGACACAAACAGCTTAAGTAAAGCGAGACCAGCACAGGAGGAGGAGCTAAAACCATCAGGTGAGACATTAACAGGAGTAGTTTAGTTGTTTACAAGAATACCTGCCAGCGCATAGAACTATTCCGAGAAGCAGGTTTAGCTAACATATCTGAGTTTGTTAATCCCAAGATAAGAGAAACTCTGATTTTTTTGTTCCAGACAAAGCGTCGACGTTAACTCTGAGTCAGTTACCGTGATAACAGTGAACTAAACCCACTCGCTAGCAGGTTTTCTTCAACAAACTGAGTTCCAACTCCTCCCTTCTTGCTGCACCTAAACCAGCTGACTGACACTGAGTCATTTCCTTACAGATAGTAAAAGCTGTCAAAGTGCAAAAAGAAATTAACTTACGTTAACTTCACGTTTTTCATTCATGTTCTTGCAAAATCTGTAACCACATTTGTGTACTAAAGATGAACATTAACAGATTTATTATCAGCTCAGAATAAAATCTATAGCAGCGGTCCCCAACCCCCGGGCCTCGGACCGGTACCGGTCCGTGAGTCGTTTGGTACCGGGCCGCGAGAGTTGAGGCTCAGGTGTGAAATGTATAGTTTTCAGGGTTTTTAATCGGTTTTCAGCGTTATTTTGTTATCGTTTACTCGGTTTTCCTGGGTCTTTTCACGTGTGTTATGAATAAACCTCCTTTTTTTCGGTAGCGGTACTAGTTTTATTTTGTTGTATTTATCCGCGACACCTTAAAGGCCGGTCCATGAAAACATTGTCGGGAATAAACCGGTCCGTGGCAGCACAAAAAAGGTTGGGGACTGCTGATCTATAGCCTCCAACTTGACTTTGTGGATAGTGATGCTGTCAGAATCCCAGTTCCTTTGCTATGTAAATATTTATGGTATGTTATAGGGGTGGGTTTTTATTAAAATCGATTCTGGCTTGGATAACGTAAAATCGATTCATTAAAATCCTGAATCGATTTTTTTAATATTAATTTATTTTGCCCGAAATGCCAGAATCCCAGGTGAAAGATCACAAAATTTCAACAACCACCAAACAGCTAAGACAGTAAATGAGAGCAGGTACACGGCTTCTGCACAAAGACGTAAACACACAGCGTGGACCCGCAGATCAGAATCAGTGAGATGTCGCCTTTCTCACCTGATGGTCGGGGCTGAAAGCCGACAGCTCGCTGATTCTGATCCGCGGGTCCGCGCTGTGTGTTTATGCCCTTTTTGCGCTGATCATATGGCTGTTAGTTTTATCTCTCTCCAAACAATATTGACCGAACCAGCAGCAAAAGAAGATCCAAACTACGCTTCACATAAACATCGTCATGAATTCCCTCTGACTTCTGCTGACTTTTCAGGATAAAAATCACACTTCATGCACAGCTCTCTCTCTCTCTCTCTCTCTCTTCTGCATTATTCGCTTGCTTGTTACGCACAAGTCTACCGTTGTTTACAGCGCTGTCGGCAGACGTTTTTTTCCCCCTTTTACTTACTTCCGAAAAGTAAACCTAATTTCTGCCGTTCAATATTGAACAAATATGTAAATGTACTGATCTGAATTATAATATTTCTGACTGTCAAAATTTCCCAGATTCGAATCGAATTAAATCGAATCGTGGACCGAATCGATTCGGGACCTTGTGAATTGGAATTGAATCGATTCTAGAAATCAGTGACGATACCCAGCCCTAGTATGTTACACACTGATCAATGACCAATTGTTTGTCTTATTATAATCAATCATACTGATGGAAAAAATGTGTCACATTTGGATCTTGCAGATAACTTCACTCAAATATTCATGTTGAGGCTGAAATGATTTTAAGACTGAAACTGAACCAAATGTGTTTTAAGTAACATTTAAAATGTAGACTGCAGAGAGTCTGATTGTAATCTGATTACGCTTTACGTTGAAATGTGTTCACTGATTGCGGTTCAGTCATTTAATATCAGACAGCATTAGTGAGGATGTGTTGTCTTTTAAATCAGGCTGAGCGGGTCAACCCAGGCACACATCAACCGGATCACATTTTAGATTCAGTCCCAGACTGGCTCCGGTCATTTCCCAGCTCATCCCACCTGGATTCATCCTATTTTGCATTTATGAGCCATATTCATCATCATCATCATCATTTATTTATTTATATAGCACTTTAAAAACACACCTGGTAGACCAAAGTGCTGTACAATACTAATATGCACATAGTAATAAAAC